TGGAGGGGGTGATTGCTTCTGTTTCCTAGCCCACTGCCGTGCCCAGAAGTGTCTGGCTGTCACCCTGTGGAACCCCCCCTCCCAGAAAGCAGCACAGGGTTAAAAAGCATTTCTAGGCAGGGTCTCTCTGAAGGAAAATGAGACTTCTGGTCTATTTTCTGAAAGAGCAATAGCCAAGGCCTCTGCTTAGCTAGGCCAACTGAATAGTCCAAGTACTGCAGTGACCTATCGCAGTCCAAGAAAGCCTGCCGCTCACAGAGGAACAGAAGGTGTCCTACTTACCTTGTGGTGGATTTAATGCCATACCTTTAATGTGCTGCGCCAATCCTCTGTGGAATATCTTTATTTTCTTCCAGTTTTATTTAGATATAATTGACATATAGCCCTGTATATGTTTAAGGTATACAGCCTAATGATTTGACTTACATACATCATGAAATGATTACACAGTAAGTTTAGTGAACATCCATCCTCTCATATAGATGCGAAATTAAAGAAACAGAAAAAAAGTATTTTTTTCTTGTGATAAGAATTCGTAGGATTTACTCTCTTAACAACTTCATATATAATATATAGCAGTGTTAATTATATTTATCATGTACGTTACATCCCTAGTACTTATTTACCTTATCTGGAAGTTTGTACCTTTTGACTGCCTTCATCCAATTCCTCCTCCCCCAGCCTGCTGCCTCTGGTAAGCACAAATCTGATCTCTTTTTCTAAGAGTTTGTTTTGAAGTATAATTGGCCTATAACACCATGTTAGTTTTTTCCTAGTGTACAACATAGTGATTCAATATTTCTATACATTTCAAAATGATCACAAGTCTAGTTACCATCTGTCACCATACAAAAATATTACGTAATTATTGACTATATTCCCCACACTGTATATTTCATACCTGTGACTCATTTATTTTATAACTGGAAGTTTGTACCTCTTAATTTCCCTCACCTATCTCTCTCCTTCCCCCAACTCCTTCCCCTCTGGCAAACACCTGTTTGTTCTCTGTATCTATGAGTCTGTTTCTGTTTTGTTTGTTCATTTGTTTTCATGTATAGATTTCACATTAAAGTAAAATCATATGGTATTTGTCATTCTCTGTCTAACTTATTTCACTTAGCATAATACCCTCTAGTTCCATCCATGTTGTCACAATTGGCAAGATTTCATTCTTTTTTTATGGCTGAGTAACATTCTATTGTGTGTGTGTGTGTATATATATATATATATATATATATATATATATATATATATACACCACATCTTCTTTATTCATTCATCTATTGATGGGAACTTAGGTTGCTTCTATATTTTTAGCTGTTGTAAGTAATGCTGCAATAAACATAGGGGTGCATATATCTTTTCTAATTAGTGTTTTTGTTTTCTTCGGATAAATACCCAGAAGTGGAGTTGCTAGATCATATGGTAGTTCTACTTCTAATTTTTTGAGGACCCTATATACTGTTTTCCATAGTGGCTACATCAATTTACATTCCCAGCAACAAGGTTTCCCTTTTCTCCACATTCTCCCCAATACTTATTTGTTGTCTTTTTTAGGGTATATCTTTTTTTTTCTTTTTTTTTTTTTTTGCAGTATGCGGGCCTCTCCCGTTGCGGAGCGCAGGCTCTGGATGCGCAGGCTCAGCGGCCATGGCTCACAGGCCCAGCTTCTCTGCGGCATGTGGGATCTTCCCAGACCGGGGCACTAACCCATGTCCCCTGCATCGGCAGGCGGACTCTCAACCACTGCGCCACCAGGGAAGCCCCTGCTGTCTTTTTTTAAATAGTTATCCTGACAGGTGTGAGATGATACCTCATTGTAGTTTTGATTTGCACTTGTCCGATGATTAGTGATGTTGAGCATCTTTTCAGGTGCCTATTGACCATTTGTATGTCTTCTTTGGAAAAATGTCTATTCAGGTCCTCTGCCCATTTTTTTAAACTGTTATTATTTATTTTTGGCCGTGCCATGCAGCTTGTGGGATCTTAGCTCCCCAACCAGGGATCAAACCTGCACCCCCTGCATTGGAAGCATGGAGTCCTAACCACTGGACAACCATGGAGGTCCCCTCTGCCCATTTTTTAATCAGGTTTTTTTTTTTTTTTTTTTTTTTTATGTTGAGCTGCAGGAGCTCTTTGGATATTTTGGATATTAACCCCTTATCAGGTATATTGTTTGCAAATGTCTTCCCACACTCAGTAGGTGGTCTTTTCATTTTGTTCATAGTTTCTCTCCCTGTGCAAAAGCTTTTTAGTTTGATGTAGTCCCATTTGTTTATTGTTTCCCTTGCCTGAGCACACACACACAAAAAAAAGTCAAAGACCATACTGCCTGTTTTCTTCTAGAAGATTTATGGTTTCAGGTCTTACATTTAAATCTTTAATCCATTTTGAATTTATTTTTGTGCATAGTGTGAGAGTAGTCCAGGTTGATTATTTTGCATGTAGCTGTCCAATTTTCCAACACTATTAATTTAAAATGCTATATTTTCCCCATTGTATATTCATGCCTCCTTTGTTGTAGATTAATTATGACAATATAAGTGTGGCATTTCTGGGCTCTCTTTTCTGTTCCATTGATCTATGTGTCTGTTTTTGTGCCAGTACCATACTGTTTTGATGACTGTAGCTTTGCAGTATAGTTTGAAATCAGGGCGTGTGATACTTCCAACTTTGTTCTTCTTTCTCATGATTGTTTTAGCTATTCAGTGTCTTTTGTGTTTCCATACAAATTTTAGAATTATTTGTTTTACTGCTGTGAAAAATGCCATTGGTATTTTGATAGGGATTACAATGAATCTGTAGATTGCCATGAGTAGTATAGTTGTTTTAACAGTATTCTTCCAATCCATAAGCATGGTATATCTTTGTGCACCCTCCCCTCCATCCCCAAATCCCTCAGTGTTATTTTTTAAATAGAAAGTAAAAACCTTAAGACCCCAAAGAAACCAAAACCCAGGCATCTTTAAAGTATTTGACTTTCTTTACCAGCAGTTTTGTAATTTCAACCCAGATTAAGAAATAGACACAAGAATATATATGGTGGTGACCAGCACAATTAGCAACAGCATCTCACAAGTGTGAAGTGTCATTCACTTTAATGCTTCTCAAAAGTCTTTTAGAGAAATTTAACCTCTTGAATTAAAAACACTAATAGAGGCAGCCAGAATGAGTGGCGACAAGGAGAGAGGAAGTGAGCAATAGAAAAAAATCCTTCAGATTCACTAAAAACTACTAAACCAATTCCCAATAAAAAGAGACATGCTTTACCTATCTGTAACCAAGAAATTAGCTGACCTAGCTTACTCCCTTTAAGAATTTTTTAATCCCTAAAATAAAATTAACATTAGATTTATTCAGTCACTTCCTTCCAAATGTGACCTTTTATTCTAAAGCAGTAACTCTCAGCAGAACACCAGGGGCCCCCAGAAGGGCATCAAAGTATTTGTTCACTAAATGGTGAAAAAAAAAAAATGTGTCTTCCTTCTGTTTGCCCATCACAATCCCCAGTGATACAGATATTCCATGTTCATATTCAGTGCCGAGGCTCTCATAAACCACTAAACCACATGCAGAATATTATACGTTATTTAGAACCATAAGGAAATAAACATTGATACTCTATGCACCCTTTTCAATAAAGTGATTAAATAAACTCAATTGTCTGGAATATACAGACCTAATTCTTGTAGGTTCCAGACTGGGGGGCTCACATGCATCATGTATTATTTGACAAATGCCCGCTTGAAAGAGCTCACTGTCTCCCCAGTAGTGGAGATGCAGAAGATGGGGGGGGGGGAGACAGTCACAGAAGCCTGTGGGGTGAATATATTATCTTCAGCTCTTTAGACTACAGGACTGCATCCTGTCTCTAAATCACATTTGCCCAGATTCAGGAATGCACAGTCACAGAGGTTTTGAAAGTGAGGCACAGGGGACTTCCCTGGTGGCATGGTGGTTAAGAATCTGCCTGCCAATGCAGGGCACACAGGTTCGAGCCCTGGTCCGGGAAGATCCCACATGCCACGGAGCAACTAAGCCCGTGTGCCACAACTACTGAGCCTGCGCTCTAGAGCCCACGAGCCACAACTACTGAGCCTGAGTGCCACAACTACTGAAGTCCGCATGCCTAGAGCCCGTGCTCCACAACAAGAGAAGCCACCACAATGAGAAGCCCGCGCACCGCAACGAATAGCAGCCCCCACTCGCTGCAACTAGAGAAAGCCCGCGTGCAGCAACGAAGACCCAACGCAGCCAAAAAATTAATTAATTAATTTTTTAAAAGGCACAGATAGAACTGGTGACCTGATGATCTTTTGGCACCGCCCCCATTGAATACCTGCTGCAATTGTTGACCCTTCCCTATTTTCAGAGGCAGAGTTTCTTCACAGGGAGCCATGTGACCCTGGGCTGAGGGTCTCTGTGGAGGGCTTGGCCACCACCTGGGCATCAGGCCCCTCAGCGTGGCTCTGCGGTTGCTGAGAGCTCCTCACAGCGCCTTGCCCTCTGGACACCTGAGCTGCTGATGACCTGCACTTGAGTGCCAAGGACAACACTTCTGAAGTTCTCTGCAGGCAAAGCTTTAAATTTTCATTTTGTTTTGGTGACTTAGTAAATTTTTTTGAGAAAATGAATTTTTACATAACAAGCAAGTGAATGAGTTGCAGAACAGTTCAGATTTTTAAAATGCTACTCTAATCTTTGTTTCTACATCACAAAGGAGCAAAAACAAAGCACACGGGTAAGGCAATACACGTGAGGTTATTGCTAACTTGTACTGCCACAAAGATTGATGCCTAATTAATCCGGAGTTACAAAGAGCACATGTCAGTGCTTCTCACTCAATTAACAACAAAAAAAAGGAAACCCAAAGGGCCTGGAGGCCGTTCCGAGCCAGGGTCCTTCTGATGAGCCCGAGAAAAGGTTTTGCTGATTCAGAAGGGGGCCAGCCTATGGAGCCATTTAAAGTCCTGCACCAGGAGAATGAAAATTTCCAGTTATGGCATTAAACTCTATTTATTTAGTATTTGAAACATGGTGTACATTTCTGAATTTGTATAAACATTTAGTACATCTAAAATCCACAACTGGTAAACAACCTGTGTTTTCTTTTGTGTACAATTTTGGAGTTTACATCTGGATATTCTGGTGTTATGGAGAGACCCAGTCTGTGAACCTAATCAAACTGCCTCATGACCATAGTAACTGTGACAGAAGTGATCTGCTCCTTAAAAGGGCCGTTCCTTGCACAGAAAAGGTGTCACGCTTTGGAACTACTAAGCCAGGTGTCAAGGAAACAAGAGAAACACAGCTGACATGATGAAGAAAGTCTGTGGAGGGGACTCCAAGATCCATGTCAGTGCACAGCAGGCTATGCAAGTCACTCGGTGACACCTAGGCATGGGCACCCCTTTCAGAACCTTTGGGTGTCAGAGTCTCCTCACCTCCCACCGGAGGGGTTCCTTCCAGCAGGAGCTTGCACTCTGCATGGGCACACACCTTAGGGCACCAGGGGGTCACAGCTGCAGCTCTGAGGTGCCCACCAGGCCCAGGGCTCTGGCTTCTTCCGGAGTCAGGCCGCTCTTCAGGGTCCTCCGCACTGCAGCGGCGCCGGCAGACCAGAGGCGAAGGGACAAGAAGAGAAGGCGGTGTTAGCAACCAGGCACGTGGCAGTCAGGCCACAGGCCTCCTTCCCCCGAGGACTCCCAGAGGAGTCACAGCGCTCACGGACACTTGGCCCCGTCCTACTCCTGCTGAAGTGCCCTGGCTGGCTGGCCGCCAGGGCAGGGAAAATCTAGGGGCTGCCAGGGACTGACCTGAAGATGACACAGGCACTGACCTGGAAAGTCAGGCAGATAGGGGACCTCGTAAGAGGAGAGGGGGGGAGGAGAGGCCCACCCTCATGAGGTGTCTGAGAAATGGTGCCAACTACAAAATGCAGGTGGCATGTTGAGAGCTCAGCCTTTCCCAGCATAAGGAGCGGATCAGAGCTGGAAAAGGAATTACTCAGCATAGGAAAATGCAAATTCCAGTGTTGCAAATTAGGTAAAATAATCCCGCAAATCTGCAGGGACATACCTCTGTAGAGGCCCCACAGCAAGGCATTAACGGAACCCGGCGCAAGGGGTAGCTGTCAGGATGAGCTCTCCACGAGCATCAGGGTCTTAGTCTCAACTCATCAAAGGGCCTCTACAGAGAATAACCAGTGACTCCTTGTAGACTGGATGCCAAGGAGCAAACTGCCAAACTTCTGAGTGGATTTGGTGGATGTTCTCTGTGAAACACACAAGGCTCAAGAAGGACCAGTGACCTCCCCGCCCTGAGGTTTACAACTGGCAGCTGGAGGCACACTCATATTTAACTGACTTAGAATTGGCTTATGTTTAGCCTGACATTATGGGTTTTCCATTGTTTAGTGTTGATCAATTTCGATGTCAAAATAAAGGCTGAATAAGGCTGCATGATGAGGCAGCTGCCCCTTCCAAGACTGGTCCTTTCATTTGAAACGTTCCTAATTACATTTTCCTTAGTTGATAAATTGTATTTGGCCTACTCTGTATGGAAGTCATACAGAGTTTTGGGTATTCTATTTTCAGAAGAGATGTGTTACAGATCTACCATCTACCATAAATCCTCAGTCATCTGGAGTCCCTGAGATCCTCAGGGAAGGCCCTTGATCAGAATGTGGAGAAAGTAAAGCTCACCCTTAGTGTTTTCCCACCTTCCTTGCCAGACCTAATTCCCCATGCCCCCTCTATGACAAGGGGGCCTGTGTCCTCTGAGGCCTCCCCAGAGGTGAGGGTCCCACCTCGTGTGTCTGCAGCAACGCCCAAATCGATGCCTCCCCTGGGCAAAAGCCCACTTAGCCCACGGACAAAGAATCTGAAAGAGCTAGGCCTCTGGTAGAACGAACAGCGGCTAATATCTACTAATAAACACTTTCTTCTCTCCCAGGAGTCAGCACTCTGATTGGGAGCCAACACCCAATCCATCAGTCTGTCAGTCAACAAATACTTCATGGAGAACCTATTGTGCGCTCAGCACTTTAACTCAAAGAATGGACACCCTTAGGGAAGATTCACAGACATTAAGCATGGGTTTATAGACGCACAAAGCTCTGTGGTGAGGGGTACCCTCAGATCGTGCCACCGCACGCTGCTGTATTTTCAAGCCCAGCTCAGGGCCCTAGAGCCACCCGTCCGCAGCTGCTCCTACACTGGCTAACCCTCCCGCAACCCCGGACCCCTTGGGCTCCAGACTGAGTATTTAACTCATCCAGACAAAATGTTTGGCTCCAGAGCCTTGGCTGGAGGCAGATTGCATTTAACTGAGTAATGGAATTCGTTCTATGGGGCGGCAATAAAAATACTAGTTTGTAATACCCTTTATGTTCTTTAAACACTCCTTCAAGTGTTTGTTAAAGAAAGATAATAATTTTAATGGCAGAAAACAAGATGAAATATTTCTCATCCTTGACAAGGACTGCTGAGGCCTCTTATCCAAGATCCAAAATTCTGCCTGAATAAGTCCATGCTGCACTAGGAGGGCATCTTACATTTCCTTAGCAGCAGGAGGTGGCATGGGCTAGGAACCACACCTTTGTGCCTTGAGGTATACACACGTGGCCAAATGACCACAGAAGACTCCACGAACTGATGGCATTGAAAGATGCCTCGTACAGTTCTGTTCACATGTTTGCTTTAGCCCTAGAACTATAGGGTTCAGTTCATATAAATACTTGAGTGAGGACCCTGGCACCTTACGGAACAGGCAATAATCTGCTAATAGATATGGGCATCGGGCCAGCCTATCTGGGACCAGCTCAGAGAACAGAACAAAGGTTAACGGTGCTGCACCAGCCTTGCTGCCCTCAGCCTCATGGTCTACTCGCAGCTTTGATGCACGAGACCCCTGAGGACCCCTCAAGCCTGGGCTTTCCTCTGCTGTGGGGAAAAGCCAGTATAAGTGAAGGTCCCTTTGCTTGCCAGATGTGTCCCTGAAAGGCAGGTATTCATAGAAAAATCAGCCCCATTTATGGAGTCCTACTTTCTGTGGGCCTTCATGACAATTCAGATAAATTCTCCCAGAAATACATTAACCCTGAAAAGGACCTTAAGAATTTGAACCCTTCCCTTGTTAAAGACTCCTGAAAGAAGGTGTGAAATGAATGTAACCAGTTGAAATCAGCTTTGTACCCTGATCCCAGTCCTGCATGCAAAGGGCCTGTTACGGTGTCTGTCCATCTACCTGCTCGTCAGTTAACTCATTCATTCAACAGACGTTACATGAGCCTCCACCTTGAGCCAAGTGTCCCACCAAGGAGGCCGGGAGCTGACAGGAACACGGAGTGAGGGGAAGGGCGCAGGGCAGCAGACCCTGTCCGCACAGGAGTTGGCTCTCACGCAGAAAGTTTCCAGAAAGCAAAAAACGGCTGAGGACATATGAGAATGAGAGGACCAACACGCAGGAGCTGGCAGGATATGGAACTTGCACAACAGGAACAAGCCTTCCATCAAATAGGGAATTCTCAACTAGCACTTCTCAAATGCTGGCAGGCGGGGGGCGGGGGGGAGGGGTGCAGGGGGGAGGGCTGGCTGACATCTGATAAGATAACGTCCGGGCCCCTCTCCACTGCTCCCCCTTCCTGCTTCCCACTTGAATGCCCTGGCTGCAGCAGAGCTGCTCGCCAGCCTGTCACATGTGACAGCCTCCCCGCCCCGCAGCTGCAGAACAGAGAACAGGCCCTGGAAATGTTTATCCCTGTCTGCCTCACACTCCTTCCATAGACGGCATGGGTCACTCTGCTGGCACCAGCGGCCACTCGATGCCCCAGGCGCTTGGGACAGCTCTCAGGATGTCAGCAGCGGGGTCTGACACAGAGGTGCCTCTGCTGTCAACATGCAGCACAGGGGGGTCTGGGGCTCACGGAAAAATCATAAGTTCGTTTTCTCTTACTTTCCCCCCTCCCTTGAATTGAAAAAAAATGTTTCGATCCTACAAAGGGCTCCCAGGCAACTCTTTGCTGATGTGCATCTGAGAATAATGGCAGTGGTGGCTGCCATTTCCTGAGCGCTACCATGGATTATCTCACCCCATATCTGTGGAAACCCTATGAGATGGGGACTGTGCTCATCTCCCCAGGGAACGAGCAGCAGCGGCATAGAGAGCTCGAGTCTCTGGGCCCTGCGTACACAGTAAGGGAAAGAGAAGGATTGGGGCCAGGACGTTTGAATCCGAGCCCACCCTGGAAACAACTGTGCCCTGACGCACCTGGCAGCACGTGTTCTGACAGTCTTTCATGTTGATGGCAAATGGGCCGAGTTTTACTTCCATGTGACGGAAACCCACATGTGTGCTCTTTCACCTTTGGATCACTGACAGGTTTTTTTTTCATTTTTTGCACATAACATCAAGCAATTTGGAAATAAGTTGTGTGTGTGTGTTTTGTTTTGTTTTGTTTTGTTTTGTAATCCCGAAGATCCTAAAAATTGTTCTATCGAGTATACTAAGAGCACTGTGTCTAGGACGACAGGGGCTCATATCAGAACTTGAAGATACCTTACATGTTTGTTTCTTGGGATTGGGAGGTAACTGGCCCCACTGGTATTCAAATGCTGCTTGTCAATTTGTGCAGCCCTTGTTCCTGGAGGGACCTGTTGGCGACTGGAGAAAAACGGCAGGCCCAGTCCTGCCTCTTTGGACTTAAATACTGGGAATCGTTTTAAGGTGTATCATTCTTAGTGATTCGATGTTAGATATTCTGTGGGATTTTCATGGGTTTGGGTTTTTTTGTTTTTTTGGTCAACGTCAATTATTTAACCATTTGGGTTATTTTTCTTACTTCCACCCTCCGTCATAAAATCCCATCCATTAAAAGAAGAGGTTTCCCAAATTGACAGCATTCTACAAAATAACTAACTGACTGGTACTTTTCAAAAGTGTCAAGGTCATGAAATGTCCTCCACAGATCAGAGGAGACTAAGGAGACAGGACGACAATGCAACGTGGGACCCTGGGTGGGATCATGGAACAGAAAGAGGGCATTAGGGGGAAAATGCTGAAATCTGAGTCAAGCCTGCAGCTGAGTTAATTTTTTGATGCATTGTCCTACCGTGTGCAGGGTGTTAACATGACGGGAAGCTGAGTGAAGGATGTAAGGCAACGCTCTGTGCTATTTTTGTGACGTTTTTGTTAAGTCTAAAATTCTTTCAAAATCAAAAGCTAAAAAAATAAAATGTGGAATAACAATGACAAGAAGCCAAGGTTCCCAGACCTGGTTGATTTAAACTTGACTTCTTAGACTCAGCCTGGGCACAAAGACCCAAGGTCTCTGGGAGAGGCCCCAACAGTGCATTCATTCTAACCTCCCCAGGAGATTCAGATCCCTGACTTAGAACACTGCCATCTGAGTAAGATGCGGGGAAAGGGGGCCGCTCATGAAGGCAACGGCCTTTGTGGTGATAGGGCTGAAGTCTCCGAATTCTGCCTAACCCGGAACTAGGTTCACTCATGCTGAGATGGCTCTCAGCAATACTTATGGTATCAGGTGCTTTCTACAGCCACTGGTCTGGCCACGGTCTTGGCTGCGCAGTGCCCCTA